CTTTTACACACAGAAGCTTTTACACACAGACGTTTTTACACACAGACGCTTTTACACACAGAGGCTTTTACACACAGACGCTTTTCCACACAGAGACTTTTACACACAGACGCTTTTACACACAGAGGGTTTTACACACAGACGCTTTTACACACAGAGGGTTTTACACACAGACGCTTTTACACACAGACCCTTTTACACACAAACCACTTTTACACACAGAGACTTTTACACACAGACGCTTTTACACACAGACGCTTTTACACACAGACGCTTTTACACACAGACGCTTTTACACACAGACGCTTTTACCCACAGACGCTTTTTACACACAGAGACTTTTACACACAAACGCTTTTACACACAGACGATTTTGCACACAAACACTTTTACACAAACACTTTTACACACAGACGCTTTTACACACAGACGCTTTTACACACAGACGCTTTTACACACAGACCCTTTTACACACAGACGCTTTTACACACAACCGCTTTTACACACGACACTTTTACACACAGACACTTTTACACACAGACGCTTTTACACACAGACGCTTTTACACACAGACGCTTTTACACACAGACGCTTTTTACACACAGGCGCTTTTTTACACACAGACAAGTCCGGCACAAGTAAAATCGCAATTTTACCTCAGTTTTTGACGATCGACCTTCATTTCGTGCGAAAGGGTTGCTCCGGCACACGAAAAATCGCAATTTTACCCCAGTTTTTGCCGATCGACCCTCATTTCGTGCGAAAGGGTTGCTTTAGCACAAGTAAAATCGCAATTTTTCCTCAGTTTTTGACGATCGACCCTCATTTCGTGCGAAAGGGTTGACGTTTCGTGACTCACCGCCGGCACCACCCTCGGCCTAAAGAGAGAAAGATAAAGAAGGTGAGAGAGAGAAAAGGGAGAGAGAAAGGAGAGAAGATGTGAAGATGAGAAGATGTGAAGAGGAGCAGATGTGAAGATGAGCAGATGTGAAGATGAGAGAGAGAAGGTGTGAAGATGAGAGAGAGAAGGTGTGAAGATGAGAAGGTGTGAAGATGAGATGTGAAGAAGAGCAGATGTGAAGATGAGCAGATGCGAAGATGAGCAGATGTGAAGATGAGCAGATGTGAAGATGAGAAGGTGTGAAGATGAGAAGGTGTGAAGATGAGAAGGTGTGAAGACGAGAAGGTGTGAAGATGAGATGTGAAGAAGAGCAGATGTGAAGATGAGCAGATGTGAAGATGAGCAGATGTGAAGATGAGCAGATGTGAAGATGAGAAGGTGTGAAGATGAGAAGGTGTGAAGATGAGATGTGAAGAAGATCAGATGTGAAGATGAGAAGGTGTGAAGATGAGAAGGTGTAAGATGAGAAGATGTGAAGATGAGAAGGTGTGAAGATGAGCAGATGTGAAGATGAGAAGGTGTGAGAGAAGGTGTGAAGATGAGAAGATGAGATACAGACCCCCACTATTGGAAGAACCCTGCGCTCAGACGCTCTCGGGAAAAATGATTCATAATGGATAACTGCTTGGTTGCTTCAAGCCCCTTTTCACGTATAATATACTAGTATTAGTCATTGGGGATCATCATCCCACTTCCACCTAGTAGGATGGGAAATCTGACTATCCTCCTCCCAGGGGCCAGGGCCCCCACGATCCGTTTTCATCGCCGGCTTTCACCCTGGCCTTGCAGATAGATTTAAAAGAACGAGGAGGAAACCTGGGAACCAAGGAGTAAACATCATCTGAAAACAGGGTTCTTATCTTTTTTTGGGGCTTCTATATTGTTGCTATAGTCTGATCATGTCTGATCATGTCTGATCTGACTATCTATATATATATATATAGTCTGATCTAATATCTATCTAATCGCTGAAAAAAAAGTCAGCTCTAGTCTGACCTCACCTGATCTCATCTCATCTAAATATGTATATAAGTATATATAAGTATATACATCATACTAATTCTGCAGTGTACATATGCATGCACCGTTGTAAAGAAGGCATCGCTTGGGATCCTGTGGGATCCTTTAATTTTGGCCGTCCGACTTTTTTGTGTGGTAGACCCAATAGGATCATCATCCCAAATAGGGAAAAAACCGGGTACCCGGCCTGGTAAACATACAAAAAGCGACATGGAAAATGGCCCAGTCGAAATAGTGGATTTACCCATTAATAGCATGGTGGATTTTCCATAGTTATGTGACAGTTTACCAGAGGGTAAACCCCCCAAAGAATAAAACACTAGTCAAGATCTTCTGACCAAACTGAGCCATGACTAACACTTTCTCCAAAATAAATTCGTCAGTCTTTGAAGATTCCGAATCTGCAACTTGGGGTCCCCCTCTGGTAATCAAACATGGCTAACTGGGAAATCCCCAAGACTAGCCATGGAGGTTTCTTGCTGGGAAAATCATCGAACTAAATGGGTCGTTCTCCGGCAAGCCATGATAGCCATGATGACACCGCACGGCACGTCTCGGGAATTCTGCTGGTGCCTTTGGATCCTTTGGACCAGAGTTTCCATCACCTGGAGCCGCTCATCCCTTTGTGTTTTGATGTACCCTCTGGTAATTTAACGTAGCTATTGAAAATGGCCATAGAAATAGTGGATTTTCCCATTAAAAATGGTGATTTTCCATAGCTATGTGACAGTTTACCAGAGGGTACCTAACGAATTTTGGGCAAACGAATCCACTGGATTGAAACTAGATTGAAACCTCATTTGGACCCCTATTAGAGGAATGGCGAAATTAAAGTCCCCAAGTTCCGACACATCCAATTTTTGCCAGAAACATTGAAAAGAAGCAGTGATCAGTGGGTGTTTGAGACACCAGCGAAGAAACACGGAAGAATTGGTTCTCAAAGCACCCTGGATTCAGACTCAGGATATACCATACTCAACTCCTTGGAATGCAACATGGAACCTTAATGACAATAGGATTTGGGACGCTCCTATGATCAGTAAATACCTTCAAAATCTAGAAAGATGTTTATGTTGCTAATCATGGTTAACCTGCGATAGTCTGAAAGAATATTAATTTTTAGACATCACCATCATGATCTTCCCATATATTCCCCCAAATGGCTTGTTTAAAACATCGCCTTATAAGGCCAACAATTGACCAGTCAAACAATTGAATGCGATGCCCAAAAACAAATCATCCCTGATCGATGCCCAGAGGGGGTTCAAAGTTTTGACCAAAAGCCACTTCAGGATGTGTGACCAGCCTCCTAATTTTGGGCCTTGTGGGTGCGTTCGTCAAGAGTGCTAAAAAACATTAATAAAAAAAAGCGACTCGTTTACCCTCTGGTAATCAGTCACATGGTTTGTTGGGAAATCCCAATAATATTCCAATAATGGGATAATGTCCCATTATATTGAGATATAACTATAATATACCATATATTTGTAACCATCTAATATATCCCATAAATTGGGACATATATCCATTTGTTGTTCGTGACCCTGGGATTCTCCAGCTCGGAAAATGTGAATGATGCAACTGTTGGACCCAAGGAAATCCAGCGGTTTGTTGCTGGTGGAATGACCCAGCCCAGCCAGGACCACCGCCCAAAAAATAGTGCTTGCTATGTTCAATCACCTTTTTTTAATGACAAGGATTGACAAGGTTCAGTTCAGTTGATCCATGTTGATCCATATTGTGGTATTCATCACATTAAACTCATGATTAAATCATTAGTTTAACCCACAATGATCATCACATTGGTTAATACCAGTCATGCTTACCCTCTGGTAAACGTTTACATATGGAAAATCACCATGCTATTAATGGCTAAATCCACTATTTCGACTGGGCCATGTTCAATAGCTTTTTGTATCTTTACCAGATGGTATATAGTATATCCCATGAACATCCCATTGAATCACAAAAAAAAATCCCATGGAAAATCACCAGAAATGACCATTTTCCATCATTTTCCAATGGCTAAATCCACCCATCAATGGGCCATCTATGGATCACCTGGGATCTTCCATAGACCCCCCACCGTTCGCCACGGCCGCTGTTCGCGCAACGGAACATCCCATGAACATCCCATTGAATCACGATAAAATCCCATGTAAAATCACCAGAAATGACCATTTTCCAATGGCTAAATCCACCCATAAATGGGCCATTTTATGCCATAACCAGAGGGTAGCCATGTAAATCACCATAGATCCACCATGGATCACTGCTGCCTCCAGTGGCTTTGGCGGGTGCCGGAGGCGGCACCACCGGCTGCGGCTCGGGAGCCGGCGGAGGCGCAGGATGCGCAGGCACCGCGGCCTTCTCCGGCGCCTCGGCGCGTTACGTTGTGCGAACAGCGGCCGTGGCGAACGGTGGGGGGTCTATGGAAGATCCCAGGTGATCCATAGATGGCCCATTGATGGGTGGATTTAGCCATTGGAAAATGATGGAAAATTGTCATTTCTGGTGATTTTCCATGGGATTTTTTTTTGTGATTCAATGGGATATTCATGGAAGATACCATCTGGTAATTTAACAAAAAGCTAGTGAACATGGCCATTGACATAATGAGTTTTCCCATGAAAAATGGTGGATTTTCCATAGCTACGTTGAATTACCAGAGGGTACAGGTGATCCATAGATGGGTGAAATTTATTGTCCTAACTGGAAAAAAAGCCATCAGTTTCACTGAAATAGGACTTTTTTGTGGGATGCGTATGGCAGAGCCATTTTTAAAAAAAATGTAAAAACGTGCTGGAAATCTGACTATTTGGTTATAATCTAGGTGATGTGGCCTGACTGGAGTGAAATATCCATCCTGTAACCTATAGATCTCAGGACAGGTTGGATGCTGTGCAAAATCTTCTTTTGGCGTTGAATCAGATTGGTCCGTTGACAACACTGCAAATTGATCTTGCTTGTTTGCAGGAACAACCAAGAGAATCAATCCCGATACAAACTGACTTGGTCATACTTCAAGAGTGCTCCGTCCATGACATATGTATATATAATCTACAACGCGTAAATATATAATACATATGTATCACAACCATCTGGATTTTCAATTCCCTGTCTTTCCCCCGCGAAACAAAAACTACGAACTGGGAGTGCCGATCGACTGTGGTTTCATGGGCCTCAAATCCGATAAGTTTGTTTGAATTACCCTCCGGTAGATACATGGCCTGGAAAAATCACCCATTTATTATATAGTATATATATAATTATATATATAATTATATATAATGATAGTTATATATATATATATAATTATATAATTATATATATATATCTGTGTGTGTGTATCCATTTATGGGTGATTTTCCCATTATACAACACCTCCAGTCAGTTTGGAGATTTCCCAGCCATGTTTGATGACACCGAAGGCAACCCATCTGCAACCAGGACTGAGTGCACCCTGCGGCTCCGTTACCACGAGAACTTCGGAGTTCCTGGCGCCCAGAAAAGGGGAGAAAGTCCCATTGTTTTTTTGGGGGATTTAATGGATGTTTCTTGGGATTTTGTGGATTTTTATTGGGATGTAGATTAATAATGCGATATCATGCGATGATATTTGATATATATATATATGTGTGTGTGTGTGACCACTGACACTGGGATGATTTACCACCAAAAATATCAGTTTAACTGGAGAAAAATGATGATATTATGGGGACTTTTCACAAACAAATGACAGTTGGGCGTGTCTGAAAATGAAGTCTGCCCCCACCCCCAGAAAAAAGATGGCAAGGGGTGTACAATGAAGATTTGATGATTACTAAAACCCAAGTGGGGGGTACAATTCTTGGGCCATCCCAGCAAAAATGATCTGAAACCGAAGAAAAAAACCGTATCCAAAACATTGAAATGTCACTGGACCATGCATGACAAAACCCTTGGATTTGAGGCACCATCTTGGGACACAAAACGCATCAAAGCTATGGCGGTCAAGACCTTGGTAAGTCATGTCATGATGAATCGCGGCATTGGATGTTGCAGAAGCCTCCCTGATCTTCTACAATTCTATGATTGCATCGAATGTCAACCTCAAAACCAATAAATCCAAGATAATCCAAGTATTAATTCGGCGATTACACCGAAAATAGTGGTAACTATGATAAGTATATTACTATTACTATCAAAATTGGTAACCCCCCTACTAAAAAAACATGTGGTGTATCGCGCAAAACCTCGCCTTGGTGCCGGTGCCATGCCGGTTTTGGTTCTCAGGCCTAGGCCATGTGTGCGGGGCGGGGGTGTATAAATCACCCAAGCAGCTTCCAAAAGCTGGTTGACTCAGCAAAACATGGGGACTATGACCGTCAAATGTGGGGTTCTCCATCAAGAGACTTGGAGAGAACAAAATTTGGTGAACAGGGACGAACCATTGGAATAATGGACCCATCATTCCTTGAACGAAGAAGAAGTTGGCTTAGTGCATGCCCAATGTTCTCATACCCATAGTATTTAACACCCCCTTAGATGGTCCCAAATATGTGTAAATCCAGTAAATCCCCAATTGATTGCCCAAGAGGGTGATTTAATGATGACCAGGGTGACTGGCGCTTGTTCCTATATTGCTAAAACCTTAGGGAAAATTAGTGCCGATTAGCAGGATGTGCATCTGTTGTGAAAAGATTTCCAGCTAAATGATGCTAAATGCTTGTGAACTCTACAGTGTATGGGAAGGCATTTGCAAGTTGGATAGATCTGGACAATAAGAATAGTTCACAAACCTGCAATATGGACATGTTGGGATAGTTCCCCCAAACTAAGAATCTTTTGCAGTGACATCGCGATGTGAGGTCGGTATAATTCAGATTTACAATCAGCCACTGGCAAACTGGATAGCCGTTAAACCTCTTGACATGCCAAGTGTAATGTTGAGACAAAGCCCTTGATGAAAATCTAAGAGTTGATTGCAAACTGGTGGGTAAATCACGAATCAAATGGATCATTCTCATGAATTCTCCATGGCTGTCTTACGTTACCAGAGGGTATACCCCATCATCATAGGGGCCCTTGCGTACCCATCTCACACCACTGAGTTCCGTGACTCGTAGTCTTCAGCCAACCACTCATCTGGCAGGGTAGACCAGATTTATCAGATTTCATATGCTTCATGGCGAATCGCCATTTTCCCCACTCAAACTGCCATGAAATTGGGGCTAATATTCGCTATACCGCGGTATCCATTCTCAGACCCTTTACGGGACACCATTTGTATATCCCAAACCGTCCCGAAAAGGGATGACCATCCCATCTGTGAGGATCGCTCCATCAGTGATCAAACGCTTCATCGCATTGCGGGAATAGTTGATAATCCTGGTTGGCGCAGCCCGAAATTTAACGCGGATGAAAATGATGAAAGATGGCGCCTCGAATGTTCACAGAAACATGTAAGTCCCCTCAAGTTGTCCGACCAAAAGACTATTGGGGGACATAAAAAGCATTGTCGTTGTTTTCATGTCATAAAGTTGGATGCTCACCGTGCCATGCATCACTGCCATCTCCCCACCTGGAATCACAATTTGTCGGATGAGGGACTTGCGAAGTATCCCTTCCTTTGCCTCCTGGCTACTAGGGGCGTAGCCAGGAAAAGACATGAGAAGACCATGGAAAACGACACCCGACCTTCGGAAATTGGACTTAGCCGATGTCCATGGACTGAAACAAAACTAAGGAGAAACAAAACTAGGACATACTAGGACTAGGATTTGCATGGATTTGCCAACAAACATCATCAAAAAGACTGATCTGCCCAACTTTCCTGGATTTCATGGACAACAGCCAGACATATCTTCAAAAATCAAAGTCGAAACTTCCACTGAGACTCATCTCAGGGCTACTCCCAGCACCCCAGATACGAGGGGGACAATCATTGGGTAGAGCGAAACTCACCGATTTCTCCCCCTAAAGGTGGCTATCGTTTAGCATCTGGTAATCAAACATGGCTTGAAACCTGGAAAATCCACCTTTTACTTCGATGATTTTCCCTGAAAAAAACACCATCGAACTGGAGGATTTTCGGTTGCCATGTTTGATTGCCATTGGGTACCTTGCCACCAACCGAACCCCCATGCGATATCGATATCGACGGCTCCTGACATCCCACCAACCATCGCGCTTTCATCAGGGTGTGTCGATCCCATTCCGTCGCCTATGCAGCAAGGGTCCGCTGCAAAAATCCTCCCCATGTCATGTCATCATCGAATTGAATCTGTTTTTTTTTCGTACCCTTTGGTAATCAAAGATGGCAATTCAAAACCCTCGTGACACTTTTTGGGCTTTCATACTCAGAAAATCATCCTAAATTTATGTAAGTAAATAATACTAAATAGTGGATTTTCCAGCAATCCATGTTTGATTACCAGAGGGGAACGGGGAACCAGCCCAGAAAACTCCAAGATTCTCCAAGTTCACAAAGCAGGTCTACTTTTCCATCGCGCTCTCGGCCCCAGTATTTCTTAATCGGAGATTGGGTGAAAATGTTGCTCCCATAGACAACCCTGGCAGAAAACTCCCCCGTGAAGTCAGCTTCCGCTTTCCACCTTCAGATTGTCCTCCATTTTGGAGTCCATCGGTTCACGCCTCAAGTGGTGATGGCTGCAAACTAGAGAATGTTGGATATTTCTGCTGGGATTTACCATCTAACAACGGTGATTTTTCACTGGGGGAAAATTGTGATATGATGGGGATATCATGGGAGATGTCAACAACAATATGATATTTGGATGTGTCTAAAAATGGGGGATTTACTTACTGTTATCACCATCTTTGTAGCGAACATGGTGATTAACAAGTGCTACTAAGGCTACCCAAAGGCCTTGCTCGGAGAAAGCGCAGGACAAATTCCATCGCAACAGGGGGAGGTCATGCAATGCCATAAGTGATCCAAGTCCAGAGGAAGCCACTAAAATCAGTGGAACGGCGATTTTCTCGCCCATAGAATTCCCATCATTGTGCCAGTCGGACCTGGTTATCCCAAATTTCACCATCCAGGACTCCAGGACCCGGTAGCTGCAGTCAAGGGACGCCTGAAACACTACTTTGAAAGCTACGGCTGCGTAGGCCGATCGCAGCCGAACTGCCGAACGAGCTTTGGTGTTTTCGGGCGAGTGTTGGAGGGTGTTGTTGCGATGACTGTGAGGTGGTGTGGCTGAAATGTGCCGAACATGTTCAAAATGTGATTGCTCCAAATGGGGCCGCTCAATGACAGTTTAACTGGCACCGGATTCTCTGATCTGTGTCATGCTTCCTGTGTTTCTGAAAGGTTCTAAGATATCATTGGCTGCTCTCTCAGACTGCACAAGAGCTACATGAATTATTCTCAAGAGTCCTGCATGGTTTTTTGGATCTCCCAATAAAATGTCAGAGAAATCTGCAGACACTTCTGGCAGTTCGAGATGTGTTTTTTTCGCTGTGAGTGTGGCGAGTGTGGTCCTGTCATGATCTCATAAACCTACTCCGCGCGGGTAGTGCGAAGTGGCGGGGCTGCGGAAAGCGCCAGCATTTGTGACAGCTCTGTTTTACAGATGGTGGCAAAGAATAATGTTCAAATCTAGAAACCCCCAAAGTGGATGTTTTCATGATACAAATGATCAACGGGGTCTTGGTTGCAAGACCGAAAAGATTCGAACACGTTACCATTTGTTTGGTTGGAATAGGCAATACTTGAAACCACCATCCAAGTCATCATTGATTAATATCCCCATATTGGTTTTGGCGATAGATATATATAATATGTGTCCAATGCAGTCTGCCATATGGCCATCATATCCATGTCCATATGTGTGTGGCTTTGATTTCCAGTACATGCATGAAACCATTTGGGTTTGCCAAAAACTTTGTATACCATGGCATAATCCATAAGCCAAAGTTGCATTTTCACTCGGGAACTTGGTGATGATGACGATGATGACGACGACGACGACGATGATGATGATGATGACGAGTGGGGATATTCACATGGTGTCACATTGGTTTGTCAAAGATGGGCTATATCATCACCATCATCACCATCATCCTCATCATCACCACCATCATCCTCGTCGTCGTCGCGGTGAATGTAGCCGTAACAGACGCTCCGGAAAAGGCAAGACCGAAAGAGATCAATGCATGGCACCGATCATCCCTAAGATCGTAGACGCTCTTAACCACTGTCATTACAATCAAATGCGAGGCTTAAACAGTGTGCATGAACTCGAACACATGCGCAATAGTCTCACTACAATCAGTCACCGTTGCATGGCCGTCCCGCCACTGGCTCTACCTCTGGTATCCCTACATACTGTCTCCAACCTGTGGCGAAAGGCACATCCAAACCTGGAGTCTCCCTTTGGGATGACACCTCTGGGCCCTAAACATCCCTAAGTAGCCATCCTCCCAGTTACACAAACAACGTGTGGGTGTGGGCCGTTGATGTATCCCCCCACCCAGGTTGAACCTCCCACTAACCAGACAGGACGGGAGTCGCACACTCCCGATCTCCCCATAAAACAGGTACAACCTCCTCCTCAAACCGCAAAAACCTGGAGATACGCCGAACCTACCACAGGATCGGGTTGGGTTGGCCCTTGACCTTGTCCCACGTGTTACTATGCCCACACCTAAACCACCAGACACACTCAGGACTCATACCCATGACCATTATAAACCGAAGCCTCGAGCAGATCGAACCCTGAACGGCCAAGGTTGCTCTGGCAGCGCCCGCGTGAAGGGCTGTGAATATCCCCTGTCATCATTCAAACAGACTCTACCTAGGAAGAGGTGGCTAATATGGTGGTCAGACCGCATTTTTGATGGTTGCAATCCCAGTTGTGACCCAGGTATTTGGAAGACCTCTTCCAGATTCTGTTGGTTTTGCCCCCCAAGTTTCATCATATCCCCGATGTACCGCCATATTCCCATTAGAATACCATGTTTACCCCCATCTATATTGCGAACATATCTCCCCATATATTGATGCTTAAACAAAACCGCAAACCCCGTAATTTTGCTGGTCAATCCCCATTCTTCATACTGAAATGGTGCCATACATACATATACATACATATTATCCCATATTATCCCATATTATCCCATATTATCCCATATTATCCCATATTATCCCATATTATCCCATATTTATTGATGGCTAAGACACATTCAAACCTTTCTTTTAATGATTGAATCCTTATGGATCGCTAAATCATCGAGTCATCTCCTTCTCCTCTGGCGACATTGAGTTCACCTCAGAGGCCGAGGTTTCATGGGATGCCACTGAAAAATCATCGATGTTCATCTATAAATGGAGGTTTAAGATGGTTTAGGACCACGTAAATGGAGGTTTAAGATGGTTTGAGACCACGGAATTGTAGGGAAAGATCGGAAAGATGTGATTTTTTTGTTAACACATGCTAAACAAGGGGCGTTTTTGGGGGGAAATAATTTGAAATAATCCATGTTCTGATTCATACAGTAGGGATGATGCACCATCATTGTTGGGGCACCCATTTCTCTCAGACAAAGCCAGAAGATCGTGAAGAAGTTTGGGACCATAGTCGTTCCATCTATTTGTGGAATCCAAGAAGAGGAATTTAACATGACTTCAAGCTTGTACTTCTGGCATCATGTAAAAATTACTTTAAAAAAAAGGTGGGATTCACCTAGGTTGCCAGAGAATTGTCAATGAAATAAGGGGATCAGAAGCAATTGGGACATGACGCGGAGTTCTTCCAAACTGCTGAAACTTACCAAAGAATTGGATAAAGTTTTTGAATTGAAAGTGTTTCAGGCAGGATCAAGGGTTACAGCGGTTTCATCCTGTTCTGGTGGTCCAACCACCATTTTTGCCAGCTTGAACTCGTACGTTTGGGTGGTGTATCGCCTCCGAAACCACCAATTTGGGGAAGCTAAAAAAAAACACAGTGTTTCATCAACCAACCATCATATCTGGATTGTATCCACTTTGTTGCAGCCTAAATCGCATTTTTTGGTGGTTAGATCAGAACTTGTTGATGGACAAAAGCCATCAACTGACAGGAACTTTCAAACCAATGAGTATAAGCCATTACGGGATATGGTTGTAGCCAGTTGAATGA